CCCTTAATATTATGCAATTTTACCAAAAATTCGTAAGGCTCTGCGGAGGAGAGTGTGCAAATGCCATTTCCGGGATTCAAATTTAAAAATTTTTGTGCCTTCGGCACGAGCCCCCTCAGTGTTTCATAAAAGGTCCACCAATTGCACACACGGTGGCTTAAAAGGTCTTAAAACTGTTTATTCTACCGATAAATAAAGGGGTTTTTTATTGACTGGGATTTCAATAACTCGGACTGGGATTTCTAATAAAAATCCAACTGGGACTGGGATTTTGCCAAAATTTCAGGTGGGAAATGGGATTGGGACCCCCCCTTCAGGACCCTCTTTGTAAACCAGCCCCGAGCTCATTGTTAAAATGACACATTCGTGATTAATTGCTTTTCCTTTTGTTTTGCACTGCTTAATTAGGCGCAGCGGTGGAAATTTTTCATCATGTATATTGGATGAAAACATGTCATTCAACAGCCAAAAACCTGATCTTTGTGATTATGAAAAAAATATGATTTGTTTCGACATGCTACATGCATGCATGCTATCTCCGTGATTTAGGAATTTTTGATCATTCAATTTTTAGTGCTTTAATCGTTTCCTATGATCTACTTTTTTAACTATATGACATATATATCAATGTGAATATGTGCAGGGTTTTGGCACAAGTTTGGTCTATTGCTAAGATAATATTCTCATATATATTGCTGAAATGTTGTTTTTTAAGGACAAACAAATTGACTCAATATAACATCGACACAGCTAGGAGAATGAGTATTATATATCAGAAGCATCATAGCCAGTGGCGTAGTGCTCATTGGGTAGGGTTAGTTACAAAACTAAGGGCCCCCGGCAGTTAGGGGCCCCATCACCCACGGCCTATGGCCCAGAAAATTAGAAAATGTAAAAAATGCAGGTTAAGAATCAATGGGAAAATGCAAAATTAATAATGCTAAAGAATTAGCTGATTTTTTTATTCCATCTCAAATAAAACAAATGTTATTCTTATTAGCTGTTACATGCGTTAGAGACTGTTATTGTTATAGACATGGAATTTTCCAGACTACATTCTATAAATACTCAATATAAAAATATGAGTCAAACAATGTCAACAGGGGCCCCCACACCAAATATGCCTAAGGGCCCCCTGTTCCTCCGTAGAGCCTGGTTCACATTGATCGTAAACATCGGCGATGCCCATTGTCGGTGGTCATTAATGCATAAAATGTTTTGTGCATTTTCTTCTTCGTTGCTCACAGACAATGGATCGTAGAACATCGCCGATCAATGTGAACCAGGCTTAAAGCCTGGTTCACACTGGTCGTAATTCATCGGCGATCTATTGTATTCTTTCCCGACAGACAAAGCATTTTACACACCAATGACCACAGACAATGGAAATCCCCGATTCTTACGACCAGTGTGAACCAGGCATTACGCCACTGATCATAGCATGCAAATTGCAACTGACGTTCCGCGCTATATCACAATATGTACAGATTAAGACTTGACTATACAGGATGTATAAAAAGAAAGCACGCTATTGTACGTGAATTACTTGGTGTATGAACAAACGTTTTTCATTTTCGGAAAGATCAGACTTGTAGCTATTGAATGACATGTTTTTCATGCCAAGTGCAGTGGAGAAAAATATATAGGCAAGTACCATGCACTCCGATAAAAAATATTAGTCAGAATCGCGTAATTAAAGCAGTGCATAACAAAAGAAAAAGCAATTAATCACGAACTTGTCATAGCTTAGCTAAGATTTATTCCTACTTGATAATAATTATGAATACGTGCGTAGTTTATTGAAGTGAATTCATCAACTTAAGTGCCGAAGAGGGTTAATTTTCAATGGTTTTAGACTCAACTCTCTACGGTGAAAATATGTGATTCTGACTAGCATTCTTTATCGGACTCGTACTTCCTAATTTTTTCATCCATTTGGCACAAAGAACTTATCATTCAACAGCTAAAAGCCTGCTCTTTCCGAATATGAACAAATCTCGTCCATACGCAGAGTAATTCAGATACGATGGCACGCTGAAGTTCGATTACCTTTTTTTATACACCCTGTATGTTATGTAGTGACATGTATTCAGCATATTAAAATTTTCATACAATTATTGCAGCCTCAATAGACCAAGTTTCATGCCGTTTTATAACAAGCATACTTGCAGGGAGGTGAGTTCGGGATTGGACGCACCGAGGGACGAGGGTGGCTGGAAGTTTAAACCTCCAGCCACCCGAGGTGCGTCTAATCCCGGACACACCTCCCTGCAAGCATGTTTGGCTTTTATCCCATACACCGACCCATGCACATGTTTGTAGCTCTTCGCGATATATTCGTCGATGTTTTGTCAACATTTGCTCGGCCAATAAAACCACTGGGCTCTTAATACTTCTTTATCTACGTCTAGATTACCTTCATTGCATTTTTTTTCTTTGGTTTCTCTTCAGTCTCAGTGTATTAGTCGCCGAAAAAAGTTCTTTAAAGTTTAGGTTTATCGGCTAAATCTTGTCCGCCATTATTATTGTTATTGCAACGTGAGCACTGAGCAGTTTCGCGGGTGAGTTCGGCGAAAAACAGGTGAGTTCGGGCAAAAAGCAGGTGAGCTCGACGACAAGATCACCTCCTCTAAACCAATCAGAAAGCTGCTTTAACACAGGTATACAGGGTGTATCAAAAAAAACTGAACAGATTTGAAATTGCTCTCAATTTCGCAAAACACTTATTTGTATCTGTTTTTTTATATATATAGCTTCTTTGGGTACTTATAATGTAAAATAATGAAAAAAATTTCTCGAACTCAAATTTTGTGAACCAGGGGGGTGTGTCTTTTCCAACAAACTAAAAATGGCTCGCGCACAAAATTTAAAAGCTGTAATCATATTTTGAGTTAATAGATTGAAAATTTGTCGGGGTTTTAATTACTGTACAAAATTTCAGACAATTTGGTTTAGTTTAAGCCCTTTAACTATTCATTTTGTTCTAAAAAGTCAGCCTTTCGCATGCTTAATTAATGCCTTTACCTAATTTGCATATTGCTGACATATGCAAATTAGGCAAATGCATTAATTAAGCATGCAAATAGCTGATTTTTCGGGAAAATTGTAACTTTGCGTGAATTGTTAAGGGGGCTTAAACTAAATGAAATTGTCTGAAATGTTGTACAGTAATTAAAATCCTGACAAATTTTCCATCTGTTAACTCAAAATATGATTGCAGCTTTTAAATTTTGTGCGCGAGCCATTTTTAGTTTGTTGGAAAAGACACACCCCCTGGTTCACAAAATTTGAGTTCGAGAATTTTTTCTCATTATTCTACATTATAAGTACCCAAAGAGGCTATATATATATATATATATATATATATATATATATATATATATATATATATATATATATATATATATATATATATATACAGGGTGTATAAAAAAAAAGGTAATCGAACTTCAGCGCGCTATTATACGTGAATTACTTGGCGTATGAACAATTGGTTTTCATATTCGGAAAGATCAGGCTTTTAGCTATTGAATGACATGCTTTTCATGACAAGTGGAGAAAAAATAAGCATGTACGAGGCCGATTAAAAATGTTAGTCAAAATCGCATATTTTCACCTCTGTGCCTAATTAAAACAATGCATAACAAAAGAAAAAGCAATTAATCACGAACGTGTCGTAGCTTAGCTAAGATTTATTCCGACTTAATAATTATTATGAATATGTGTGCAGTTTAATGAAGTGAAATTCATCAACTTAAGTCCTAAAGGGGGTTCATTTTCAATGGTTTTAGACCCAACTCTCAACGGTGAAAATATGTGATTCTGACTAACATTTTTTATCGGATTCGTATTTGCTCATTTTTTATCCATTTGGCATGAAGAAGATATCATTCAACAGCTAAAAGCATGATCTTTCCGAATGTGAAAATATCTCGTTCATACGCAGAGTAATTCAGATACAATACCGCGCTGAAGTTCGATTACCCTTTTTATTATACACCCTGTAGTTGCATTTTTCACAACTGCTCCTAGTAAATGTATAAAAATTAAACTCGAAATTTCCATCTACAAACCCTTCTAACTTAGCCTACTCCCGCAGGCACCTCGTGGGTCACACGATGTTGCACATTATTTTTGCCCGCGACCAAATTCTGCCCGCCAGTCTAAAGGCGTTGCCAGCAGAGAGGCCCAAGAAGAACGGAAGAAGTTATTTCGCTGACCTCAGATTTAGAAACAAACTTGGAGTAGGGTTAGGGCAAGGATTAGGGTTAGAGTTGGTGTTTGGAATAGGGTTAGTGTTAGTAAAACCGTTGCTTTGTTACGTTTTGTCACTCTGAGGCCAGCGAAATAACCTCTTCCAAGAAGAGCTCGCCTTGCACTCATTTATTGTCAAACTTAAACTGGCAAATATCGTTTCAGTGTAGCAATTGTGCAGTTTGTCACGTTTTCAATTAAGCACCGCATTTATAGGATGTACGACATTCTTTGTAACTTACATCACGAAAAAAAGTCAATAGCTTCCATTTGGAGTAATAGGATTATACACATACGGTTCACTATTGGAAGGTGGTGAAATTCTTTACTTGATGTTTAAGATAATTAAGAATCATTTAACGAAGTATCTTTCATGACCTGACCTCCACCTACCTAAGTTCCTCCAAGAAATTAAAATGCTTTGAATACTCATTTAAAAAAATATTAAGTAGAGGTGAAAGACGAAAGTAAAGGCTGGTTCACACTATAATAATTCTGTCGGCGATTTTTCTACTCCTGGCAAATGTGATCGAATAAATGATATATAAAAGACTTACGC